CAATATTCATACGGAAGAATTTCATGCAGTTACATTGGCACATCTTCCTCTCTTTTCTATCCCTTGTTTTACAAGTTATTTTCCAGTGCCAGTAAATAAATAAAAAAAACCTACAAAAACATGAAGTAAAATTATTTGACCGCCACAAATTATGAAAAATGTATAGCTTCAGATAAATTTTCCAATAGTGAATGAGTTCTTCCGTATGAATATTGTATCCTTAAAAAATAAAACAATCATTATAAATAATACTGTTTTTAATCTGCTGCTTGAAAAAAGTACAGATAATAAACACGAGTAAGCAACTAGACATTTTCATTTGACATTTTGTCTCATATGAAAAAAAAAACTTTTTTTGAAAAAAATGAAAAGAATTTTGATGAAATGTTCAGAATGAGCTTCTGCATTGTTAAATTGCCCATTGTGTTTTAAATTTTGTTTATAAAGCCACATGTCTTCCTTTAGGAACTCTTGAATGTGGAATAATGCAGGAAAATAAGCAAGTAGCCTTGCAATCAGTTTCCTAAAATTGTATAATCAACCTTAACAATTTTCATGTAATTTACATTTCAAAATTGTTTATTAAAGAATGGAACTAGGAAAGAGTCGGTGAATAGCATGACAAACATAACTGTCTTATTGTTTGATTGAAATTATTATTATCTCAAATGCATGATGTGAGTGGGTAACCTAGCTATTTCAATCAAATTAAATATTTGATGACCATTTGCAAAGTAATCATTAATTTTGCATGCATGGATTATTTATTTGATTCCAATGGTGTTGGTTTGTTCAGTTCTATAAACGATGAGATTGAGAGAAAGCATGGTAGTTCAAATTCTGCTAAAATGTATACATCTTTTATACAAGAATACTTTTTAATAGTTTTTAAAAATGATACTTATGACTCCATAAATAACTAAAGCTGTACTAGACAACCTGTGCCATTGGGTCATTGTTTCAAACATTTCCTTATCTAAACACAGAATAAAACGATAATGTG